GTGAGCCTGCGAACGACATAACGATCGGTCCTTCTAGATGTCAGTAGGTTCCATCATCAACAAGTCATCCAGTGCAACAACGATCGGTAGCTCATGACAGTTGATAACCAGGTCATCCTGCAAGGCGCCCCTACGGATGTCAGTACGCAGTTCACCAACAGTTTGATCATCAACAGAACAGCGACACCATCGTCTCGATCACCACCAGGGTCTCAACCGTCAAGACCAGCAGCAGGGACAGCACAACCGTTACTAGCAAGGTCAACGAAGCAGCCAAGATCAGCAGGAAACCGTGCAACCCCCACTCAACCAACAGCAAGGAGTCGACCGAAGCAGCCAGGATCATCAACAGGAAGGTCAACACAATCAACAACACGAGTGTAGCAACGATATGAGGACACCACCATCTTCCTAAGAGAGCCAGCTGTGGCTGTCTCAAGCAGCATCGATTGCTGACCAAGTTGAGACGGCCACAGACGGCTCACCCTGTAATGATGGTGAAGAGCCTTCCATGATTCAACTAGGGACCCTCAGGATAAGGCCTCGTAACTTGCGGAGACGCAGTCAGTTCAACATCGATTAGCGGCGGCCATGACCATCAAGTGTAAGCTGTCGACTCGTCAATCGGCGGAGTCCAAGGTGTCAGGTTCAACATCAATCGATAAGGGTGAACGTACGAGCGAGCGATGCCTCGGGGAAGGGCCCCCGGGGTTGAGGGAGTGAGGTAGTGGCTACAAGCGAAGCGACCTCGTCATAGAACTCTCAGATGTCAGCAGGCTCATCACGATCAAGTCCAATCGGTGCAACGTCGATACCTAGGCTGGTACGAAGCGGCACTCCATCAAGATCCACCAATGCAGCCAAGATCGTTAAGTAGGTGATGCGAGGCACGAGCATGCGGTCGATTAATCGGTAACAGGTTGTGAGTGAGCCCGCGAACGACGATGTGCAGTTGCTCCCTACGGATGTCAGTAGGCAGTACCATCAGTTCGATCGGTGCAGCAGCGATTGGTAGAGTCCATGGCCAGTAGGCAGTCATCCAGTCCAACATCGATCGATATGTAACCCAGATGAGACTAGGTCCGAGCATCCAGTCCCCATGTTGATAGTCAAGTCATCGAGTGAAGGAGTTTACGACTGAACGACCCTGTGCAGAGTTCCTACAGATGTCAGTACGCCAAGTCATCATGGAACCGTCAGTCCCGTGCAACCTCGATTGGTAGTGTAGCAGGTGAAGGAGTTAAAAACGACATGTCGCAGTCTCCCTAAAGATGTCAGTAGATAGTTCATCAACTCCATCCGGTCAACACCAATCGGTAAGGCAGTAGATGATGAAGTTCACCAGTTGGTAACAGGATCCAAGTGAACGTACCCTCGATCAACAGGTTCATGCAGTCTACTACGAGGCTCATCAAACCATCCAGTTCAACAGCGATTGGTAAGGTCTGATGCGAGATACGAGCATGTAGTCATCCGTCGAGGGAGTGAGGAGTGATCGATCCGGTGGGGTTGGGGCCCCGCTGGTGAGAGAACGAGAAACGTTCGTAAGCGAAGCGACCATGAACAAGATGCACCCCTACGGATATCAGTCGTTTCATCCTTGATAAGCTAACCGGTCATCCAGTGCAACAGTAACTTGTAGAGGCTTCCGCAAAGTACGAGCATGCGGTCCGTTAGTTGAGCCTAGGAGCCCACGACTGAACGATCTCGTGCCAGTTCAACAGGGAGAGGTATCGCCAAGGGGAGGAAGGTCCGACTGAACAACCTGAGTCCTCATCATCAGGTGTCATCCAGTGCAGCAGCGATTGATAAGCAGTCTACTCCAGCAGGTCAAAATAACGAACGAGCGATGCTTGGGGTAGGTGCCCCGAGGTGATCCAGTTACTACGAATGTCAGTAGGCAACCATGTTCAAGATCGGTCATCCGGTGCAACCAAGGTCTAGGTGATGCGAGGTACGAGCATGCAATCAGTTGAATCCGTAATGGTAAGTGAGGCACGAACGACGTTGTGCAGGTGCATCCCTACGAATGTTAGTACTCCATCACCAAGATCAGTCAGGTTCAACCACGATTGCTAAGTCAGACAGGCCCCTTCATCAGCCACATACTCCAGTGCAACATCGATTGGTAAGGTGCGATCAGTCTGATGCTGTACTCGCAACCGAAGCAGCAGTTGAACATCAAGGACAGCACCAAGACCTCAGGATAAGCGACTCGGTCATCAAGTACATCGGAGCAATCGGAATCAACAAGGAGCACGCAACCATACGGTCCAACAGCGACAGGAGCTGTCATCAGACCGTCATCAAGTCAACCAGTGCAACAACGATTGGTAGTGAAGTACGTGAAACAGCCCCAGCAGTCAACTCAACAGGTAGATCCTCCAGTTCAACATCAATCGGTAAGCACCCAGTCGATCACAACGAAGGACACGACAACACCAGATTCTCAAACGACAGGAAGGACATGCGGATCAACACTCAACAGTACAACGGTCAGGATAAACCACATCACCAACCTTGCAACCATCAGCTCAATCAGCACGAACCGTAAGGTCATCCTCTCCACCAGCAACCAGGACTCAACCCGAGAATCACCAGCTCCATCAACAAGATCAGCAGAACCGTCATCCTCACCACCAGCTCGATCAGCAACAGGAAGATCAACGATGCAGCTATCAACAACAGGGACGTCACAACCACCTGCAGGACCTCACCACGTACTCCATCTTCAACATCACTCACTCGATCAACAGCAGGGTTACCCCTACTGCCAACGTTATCTCGTTCAGCAACAGGACTGGATCACGCGTCCCAGAGGGAACCCTCGCGCGGACACACAACTCCATCGCTCACTCGATCATCTACCGGTTACCTCTGCAGCCAGTACCAACAGGTTCAGTCCATCATGAGCGTCACCTCTGCAGCCAAGATCGGTAACCGGAAGTCCACATCCCCGTTCGATCGTCGTCCCCCCAGTGCAGACACGATCTTCAGGTTGATGCGAGGTACGAGCATGCGGTCATCAGTTGGTAGTGAGGCTGTTAAGTGAGGTACGAACGACCATGGTAGGAGTCCCTACGAATGTCAGCAGGTTCTATGATCAACAAGACCGTCATCACCAAGATCGTCAACAGTACAACCAGGATAAACAACAGATACCGTGCGGCCATTAGATCGCTAGTCTACATAACTACGAGGTCATCAGATCGATCACCAACAGCAGGTCACCCCACTTGATCAGCAACAGGTTGTCACCATCATCCTGATCGTCATGAAGTTCATCCAGTGCAGCCAAGATCGTAAGGTATGGTGATGCGAGGTACGAGCATGCGATCGAGTCAGTTAGTATCTAAGTCGTCAAGTGTAGTGTAGGGGTGTTAGCGCAAGTTCCCCTCTCAAGGGGTCCCCTTTAGGGGATGGAGGGGAGCTGGAGCGTGGCCCGTAACGAAACGACATCGTGCAGAACTCCCTAAAGATTCCAGTGGACCACCCATCGTGAAGTCGTTAGGCTAGTTCATCATCAAGGCTCGTCCGGTTCAACAGCGATTGGTAGCTATCAAGGTGAGTCAGTCGATAGTGCTGTCATCCTCAAGGTGTCAGTGCAGCAGTGATGAGTAAGGTTCATCCATTGAAGCAACAGTACCTGCAGTCTCCCAAGGTTTCACTACGGTTGTCAGTAGGCTAGGTCATCTACCTCAACATCAATCGATTGATAGTAGCCAGGATGATGCGAGGTACGAGCATGCAGTCATCAAGAGTAAGGGGAGAGCGCATGAGTGAGCGATCCTTGGGGAAGGGCCCCCGAGGTGAGCGAAGGAAGTAGCGGCTACAAGCGAAGCGACCAGGTGCAGTTTCCCTACGGATGTCATCATCAACTCCATCAACGGACATCTATGCAACCGAGACCGTTAAGGTGTTCACCACCATCACCATGTCCATCAACAGGGAGTACCCCCCCCCCTCGATCAACAGGAAGGTCATCAGCCCGTTCATCATGAAGTCAACTGATGCAGCCAGGATCGCGAGGTATGATGCGAGACACGAGTTGCTTCAGCTAAGATCAAGTTCTCTACGGATACCAGTAGTCAACCCATCATCAACAAGACCAAGGTTCACCTGATCGTTCATCCGGTGCAGCAGTAATCTTTAATGTTCATGAATCAGTCGAGGAGAACGCATGAACGAGCGTGCTGTGGGGTAGGGCCCCCGCAGGTAAGGGAGTGAAGCAGTGGGTGTAAGCGAAGCGACCTCGTAGCTAGTCTCTCTACGTATGTCAGTACGCTCATCAACTAGTCCATCAGCCGGCTCAACATCGATTGGTAATGTTCAAGGTGAGTGAGGAACGAACGACCCTTCGATAGTCTTTCTACGGATGTCAGTAGGCAGTCCAACAGGAGGTTCTTCATCAGCGACAAGTCATTCGGTGCAACAACGATTAACAAGGTAGTCAAGTCATCGAGTGAGTCTGCAAACGACATCGAGCAACGTCTCCCAGCAGGATCACCATCCTCAAGCCCACCAGTTCAACAACAATCGATAACCACCCAAACAGCGTTCGACCATCACGAAGCACCTAACGATTGAACCCAAGAAGCTATCAACCGACGAGACCCACACCACCATCGAGAACAACGACCTCCTGATCATCAGGAAGGACACCCCCTCAACATCACGAGGAAACCAAGAGCAGCAACGATCTGAAGAACAACGAATCAACGTAAACGATACCACCAGCCGAACCACCCTCCTGACGCACTCCGGTTGTCCCGACAGAGGTCTTGCACTCAACCAACGCTCCGGGTGGCACGCTACGGTCGACCGGTGGGTCTGCGAGTTGCGAACCTTACATCCTCCGTACCTCACATCTCCGTGTCCTCTCCTCCCAACAAGTTGGTCCGGGCAGGTCACTCCGAAGTGAGCTACTCCAGATGACGGTACGCAAGACCCACCTCCTTCTCCCTCCGCTAACACCACCCTACGCTAACCACCCCACAACCCAACTGCTGAGGGACTCGAACCCCCTTCCCCCGCGTAGATACGGGTATGTTCCACCTACACCAAGCAGCAAACGCCCCCACATCACGACCCATCAGCGAAGAGCAGGCTCTCGTTAGCGGCCCCCCTCTGACGACCCGATTAACCTACGCCACCCAGCCAGCGCCCCGAAGGGTTACTCCACCACGCAAAGCGCAGGGATCCAGAGCGCCACCAACAGCAGCAACATGAACGGCAAGACACTCCACCCAGGTGACCCACCCAAGCACAGCATCATGACCCGAAGGCCAACACCCAAAGAAGTTCGCCCCACCGCGCATGCCTGTAACCATGAACGCCGATGAGCACGCATCCACCAGTCTTGTGTCTCCACCCCCGAAGACAGCGCCAGGGCCCGTTGCCCCCGATCCCCGCCAAGGCGCCCGCAGATCACCACCCGAAGGCCCTCAACCCCTGTTACCAGGAGAAGCAGATCTGCTAACTGTCACGCCGCTAAGCGGTTACCCTGGTCTCTCGACCACCCCCCGGGTAACAAGGAGCCAGCACGCGTAACCCCCTCACCTCCACACCGCCTCCCACACACCCCCTCACAGAGATGCGGCCAGACACCCCCGAAGGGAGATCAGCGGTGCTTCAGATCCAAGATCCTTAGCGTACTAGCTATCATGACGTCAACAAACAGGTTCAGGTAGTCGACAGAGCTTCCAGTTGCCCATCCAGTTACTGCGTAGGGCCTACCCATCTCAGGGTGGTTCACTCCCCTCCGTCCCCGCACCGCCCATCCCCCCATGCCCCAATCGGCGTCCCACCCCACCCAACCACACAGCAGCACACAGCACGCAGCCAGTGTACCACAGCAGTCAGAGAGCATCGCGCGTTATCAACTCTAGCCCCGGTCAGCCCCCCTCGTTGGAGACGGCCAGTCCCACAGTACCCCATCTTCCAGAGGCCCGCAAGTAAACCAAAGTCGAACCAGGCTGCAAGTTCGTGCCAGCTAAGTACGGCTCCTCGGGATCGATCCCCACCCCCGCCCAGGTCAAGGTCCTCCCACTCCGCCACCACAACCGATGTGCTGGGTATCCGTCTCTAGCAGCAACGCCCCACCACCACCCAACCCTCAGTCATCGCAGAAATACCAGCGACGCCTCAAGTCTAAAGCCGATGATGTATGTGACGCCGCCACCTGAGCCTCCTTCCCGCCAGCAAGTAATCCGCCTCCCCTCCCCCCGTCCCCAGAACGCCACACCCCGCCGCAGAGGACCACCCTTCTGGCCACACCGTTCGCCCCACCTCCCATCCCATCGCTCCCCCGCCTCAGCCGCCGTCTGGTGCGCTGTAGGAGAAGAGTCCTGCTATCTTAGTGTCGGTCGTATGTGTAGAAGCCCGCCGATCGTACAGTTCAACCCAGTGTGTCGCCCCAAGGCTCGGTATCCACTACCCCTAGAACACCTGTTCACCCCCATCATGATGTTCCGCCACCCCACCCACCCACAGGCCAGACGACCCTCCACCGCTCACACCACCCGAAGATGATAGCCACGACGAAACGCCCTCCAACCCAAGGCCTGGCAAGACCCACCTCATCAGCACCACCAGCCACCCCCACGCTGGAGAGTTGAAACTGGAGAACAGTACCTCAGAAGCAGCAGCCCCTGACCCACAAAAGAGCCTACCCACCCTACGCCCCACCGAGACGCCCTCCCTCACAGAAGAACGCAAACACCCCAGTAGACGCCACGAGCGATAAACCCCTCCAAGACCAGCGACCCGACAAGCAGTTGCCATTATCCGGCACCCCACCGCCTGCACCCAAGCACCACCACACCTGGCAACATCCCCACCCCCTCCAGTCTAGGCAGTCGTGTTACCCCCCATGATGACACCCAGCTACAGCGCAGAGCCTGCACCCGCAACGGGAGTACCCCATCACTTGCCACATGCCCCTCCTCCGCATGCAACCCACCCTCGCCCGAACTGCATCCACCACGAATCCAACCCCACGATGCCACCCAAGTCAACACACCGCCACACCACCCCACAACCGATCAGCCCCCTAAGAGACCCACCCGCCACGAAGAAGCACAACAGCCCATCAACCCAAGCCACCACCCCCACCACCAACCCCGCAGACCCCGCACCCCAACCATCAACCCACCCACCAATCACCCCGAAGAGCAACCAGCCAGTCGATCGATCACCGTGATACGAGGTCCCCGCGATCCATGACAGAAGCCGCCCACCCACACCAAGCAAACCCCACCCCAACACCGAGCACCCCCCAAGGAAGCCCCAACGCCGTCATGAAGCCCACCCGCCATCGATGAAGCACCGCACGATCAAACCCGCAGTCAACCCGTCCAGCAGCATGACCCACCGTTCGGGTATCTCTTACGTGAAGCACGCTCCGCCCAACCGGTGGCCCTTGAAGTTGCGGATTACTATCTACGATGACCCTCATCTTCAGGTCCCATGCTCAGGAGCAAGCTCCCTCCGCGTGGGTCCTTCCGAAGAGGGCCACCTCCGACAGTAACCTCAACGGCCACCTCCTTTGGGCTACGCTAACACTTCACTCCAGAGACACCCTCACTCGCCCCCCAACGAAACAACCGCAACACCCCACCAACGCCAGAGGACGAACCTCACCTCACGTTGACCAGAGCCCACAGCCATCCCACCAGTGACCGATGATAGCATCACCACCGCCGCACCCAGTACGACCTCAGATCCCCTCCCGCCACGTCAACTGGAAGCAAAAACCTCAAGGACGCACGCACGCACAAAAGCGTAACGCACATCCCCCAGTCCCCACCACAGCATCAGCCCAGGCACCAGCCTCACGTACCCACCCCACCTCAGGTTCACCCTCCGATCCCCTGTTACCCCCGTGGTAGCACGAACGTTAGCTGCAAACAGGAACATGGCCCTTTCCCGCCCCTCCCCCCCGACGAACCGCTACTACACCAACACCCCTCATCCAAGAACGACCTCCCAGCCAACCCACCAACAGAGCCAGCAACCAGCACCACCCCGTACCCGTCCAAACGACCGAAGCCGCTGTACCGTTCCGAAAGTGACACCCGCCACCAACCCTGCCGATGAGCCAACCGATCAATCGCCCCGAACCGTGTGTGGTCCTCGCTGGCGCCAATCAGAAGCTCAGTTAGCTGAAGCCCAAGCCCCTCCCCACCAGCCGCCCAACCAACCCTCAGTCCACCCTCCAAGTCCCTCCCCACCACCGCAACCCCCTAAGGAAGCCCCGTTGATGAAGAAGAACCCAGACGATGAACCAACAGCCCGTCAGTCACCCGATGAGAAGGAACCCACGCCCCAGCAGCAAGCCCTACATCACAGATATCGCTCTAGTGACCGTCCACCCCACTACTAGGCCCTTGCGAGGCTTCGAATTACTCGTCCCCCAGTAGAGCAACCACCACCCCCTCACCCCAACCACCGATCGCACCCGAAGGTACTAGGTCGTTGAAGGTGAAGTGATGGCAGCCACCCCTAAGCACCCCGCAGCAGTCGTATGGGACCGATCTAGGGATGCATCTGAGTTAGAGAAGGTGGAGACCGTGGCTCCCTGTCTCCATGTGTAGCAACCATGTTCCTCCGCAGCCCCAATCTAGATGAACCCAGCAAGTGTAATGAAGGGGTGTGTTAGTGAAGGGGTTTAAGCGCCCCCCTTGCAGAACGTTAGTCACAGCACGCCTCTCCGCAGTGACCTCCCCGGACCCAACTTGTTGGGGAGGAGAGGACACGGAGGTGAGGTGGGATGGGACTATAAGGTCTGCAACTTGCAGGGGGGGTGCGGCCCCGTAACGTGCACCCCGTAATGAAACGACCCCGTGCAGTCCCCCCACATGAGAAGGGACTCGATCGCATTGAAGTCGCATGAGACGGCCACAGGCGGCTCACCTCATATCATCCAAGGAGCACTACCCGAGACAGCCACAGCTGGCTCCCTTCACCCGAAGAGAGATTAGCTGCGACGGCCACAGGCGGCGCCCCTAGACTAATATGAAATGAGCCACCCGAGACAGCCACAGCTGGCTCCCATCGAGAGGACAGCCAGTGTGGCAATAAACCGTGCAACATTAATTTATATTAAATATCCTATATCACACGCCCTCCCCAGTCCACGGTAACTGACCGATTATGATCCTCATCAACCAACGGTGCAACAACAACTTATAACTGACCCACCCAACCATCATGTAACCCCGAGTCACCATCCTTAAACCCCGAAACGAGCACCCCCCACCCGATACCCACTCGATCAACATAAATACTACAACACCAACTCATAACGAGTCACCCTATAACATGCAGGGGTGCACCCTCACCCGCCATCCATACGGTTATAAAAACAAGACCCCATTCACTCAACGATGCAGCACGAATATATAAATGGTCCAGCCAACTAATGTGTAACACACAATGAACCACTGATTGACCTCGAATCAAGACCCCCACCCAACGACCATCCGACCCGAATCAACGATGCATCCTAAATTAATAACCATCATGTCCTCAATCATCCCTCCCCCCACCCCTTCAACCCCAATTATGACCGTAAAACACCTTACCCGACACCCCCTGTAATCGTAAAATGACCCTAAACGACCCCCATGTTCAAATGAATCCCTCAATTCGATTCGGTGACACAAAAAGTGAGGTCACCCGCGATGCCCTTTACGATTCGCGCAATTATGTTCAATTCATGTTCAATTCATTTCAATTAAATGGCCTATTTATCCCATTTCATGACCAGGAGGGTCCCCAATCGCACGCCCCCCGGGAAGGTCATTTTCAGGTCATTTAGCCCAATCGAAGGTCGACCCTCGAATCGGTCATTTGGGCCATTTATTTAATTTAGCGTCTATGGAGGTCTAAAAATGGCCTAAAAATAGCCTAAATTCATGTTCAATTGAGTTGAATTGAAATAAGCTCATTTAGGCCATTTCTGGGTCATAGTCGGACTCGGGGATCCATTGGGCCATTTCAGGTCATAAGTCGGAGGTCGCTTGAGCCCTGTTAAGTAGTGAGGGGGTGGATAGCGCAGGTCAAAGGAG